AGAAGGCTTTCCTCTTGTAGGTCTGATATTGTTAGCAACATAATAGGTACAAAGTTCATGATTCTGTAGTTCTTAGGGCAAACCTTTCAATGTCTGGGTCAGATAGGATTTTAGTTTCGTATCAGTAATGAATACTTTTGTTTAGGTAAGAACAAGCTTTAGCCGATATGCCTTAGGTCATGTCAAGTAAATATGTGACGCTATTGCATAGACACACCTTTCTTACATTTGACCAATAAGGAGATTTTTATGTAAATGTTGTTTATGTTTTTGTAACCAATTAAGCCTTTTGAATATTATTCCCATGATGATGATATGATGATGTCAGTCCATGTATAAAATATCATGTATTTCCTGAATATGTTCAGAATATGCTCAAGAAGAAGAAGAAAGTTGTCAATTTCTGGTTAACTATTTGGTCTAATTGTTTTCCTATTAATTGAGGCATGTTTCCTGATTATGCTGAGAAGAAAGCAATCAGTTTAGATGGGTCCTTTGGCCTAACTGTTTTCCATATCTCATTACAATAAAATACAAGAACTTCCTCCTCATTTGACTTCATTTTTGACATGGAATCTAATGTTTACAACAACAGTCAACCAAGTAGTAAGTTGGTCAGTCGATTGTCTGTCCTATCCTGTTAAGCAGTTAGGGGGAAAAAATTTTACAATGTGTATCCTGCCGAAAGTAGTCCAATTGCCTTCCCTAGGTTCCTAACACTATAGGTCAGAGTGGTAAAACTCCCTCACCGCTTGGCAGAACTGTGCAGGTGCTCTGGGGAGCCTACATTCACTTGCGGATAAGTGAATGGCAAGTGTGTGTGTTGGGGGTGGGGAGAGGCACAGAATCAGCAACAGCACCAGGCACTCAATTTACCCTTGAAAATAAGCCTTCATTGCTTGGAGCACGCCCAGCTGTACTTTCCAGGTGCTGAGCTTCAGTCGCTCGCACATGAGTTTGCACACCTCTTGTCGGTAGCAGCCTGAAAGGGGGGGGGAAACATTTGTGAGACAGCCAAGATATCTTTCATAATTACATCTTTATTTCCCAGTTCCTTTCTTTCCTTGATGAGTATCACACACGGTGCAAAAATTCAAACTTATCGTTGCTATCTCTCCTTATTTATAATTGAGTAGTGGTCCCACAACGTACTATGCACTCCAAAATCAGTTGGCTCCGTGATGTGTCAATCACAAGGTGTCCCTATCCACTGGCTGTGTTTGCCTGAGTTCTCTCCCACCCACTGCAGCCTAGGCCACTCTTCTCTCATTGGGCCAGCGTTTCAAGGTCATTTGCATATGCAAGCTGACTGGACTTCATTTCGCACCTCAAACTCCACCCCCCCTGCAAGACAGTTGGAACTGTCAGTTGCATATGGGACCTGCTGTATTCTGAGGTAAAATATGTCCTCACTCACAACACATCACTTCCCCTTCAAAAGAAACAAACCCAATAACACAACCATGCCATGCCACACCACAAAAAAGACAGATCACACCACAAGCAGAATACCACAAGGCAAAAAATGATAGGAAAAGGTGCCAGCAGTCACCCCATTACTGCCACAGATATGTGGCAGTCAGGGCTTCAGACCCACGGTGGGGGCTGCTGGTGAGGGGGGAGATGGAAAACTGATCAATGAGGGGGAAATGTAGGTTGATGCTTGGCTGGGAAGTAGATAGTGTTGCCAACTCCAGATGGGAAAATCCTGGAGATTTGAGAGATGGAGCCTGGAGAGGGTGAGGTTTGAGAAGGAGTGGGGCCACAGACAGGTATCTGCCCTCCAAACCAGCCATTCTGTAATGGGGAACCACTGTTGCCAATCTCCAGGTGGGGGCTGGAGATCACTCAGAATTACAACTGATCTCCAGATGGCATTGCTCCGTTCCCCTGAAGAAAATGGTGGACTCTGTGTCCTTATACCCTGCTTAGGTTGCCATGGCAAATTGATTCTGAGTGCCCAGGGCCTTGGCACTCTCCCAGAGCCTCTTTCTAGCACTCATTGTATTTATTTCCACAATGGGCCTTATTCCTAGTTACTCCATAAGGGTCAAGTTTACCTCACAACTTTTTGAAGCAATTTTGTGAACACTGTTTATCCAGAAACAGCTGCCTATGTGGAAGGGTGGCTTTTCTAACAGGAGAGTTGGCACCTTCTAGGGTGCCAGGTTCTCCCTGGTCATCTGTGGGGCATCGGGTGGTAGGTTTGCCAGATCCATGTTGGGAAACTCCTGGAGATTTGGGGGTGGAGCCTGAGGGGTCAGTGGGGCAACAGCCATTTTCTCCATGGCAACTGATCTCTACAGTCTGGGGCTGAGCTGTAATTCTGAGGATTCCCCAGGTCCCACCTGGAGGCTGGCATCCCTAAACAGCTCTCTTGCAGTGATTATTGCAAAGGACAAAGACAATACTACTCCGTCATTTTTTGTTTTTGTTCCCTGTGGTCCCTCAATATGAGGGCTCCAGGAGAATGGCAACATGTTGAGACAAAGGACGGCACTCTGCAATTCCCAAGAACTTGGCTAGATCTTGAATTGCAGAACACCATCGACCAGTTAAATATCTGACCGTGACAATTCATACTAATAATACAACAATACTTTAACATCCCTAAAATTAGAAAATAACCCTCAGAACACCATGAAAATTATAATGCCGACTGGAAAAAAATGCAGCTGTGCATCTACATAATAACTGCTACTCATCAATCTATCGCACT